GGATATCACCTATAGTAGTTCGAAGGAATAAAATAGAAATTTTAATGTTCCAAGTGTGAATTTATTTTAGTTTTGAAATAAATCATAAAAAGCAATGTTTTTAGGTTAAAATAACATTAAAAATGAATCCGGAACGTCGAAAAACCTTAGGGTAGTCGTATGGATCAAATTGGAGATTTCTAGTGGCAAAACTGTAATTTTGGAAAAAAACTCAAAATTTAGCCATGAACAGTGAATGTCGCGGACTGCTGTGTTTAAAACACAGAATCCAGCCAATTCCTTCCATTTTTTCTCACATCTCTCACCCCCAAACCCCTTAGCACCCTTGGGGAAGATAGAGGAAAGGAGGAAAGGGAGAAAGGAGGTCATTAGAGCTTGGGTTTGTGGTTTGAAACTTTGATTCAAGGTAGGGGTTTTTCTTCCATGCTTGTCCATTGAGGCTAAGGCTAATATATATATATGTTTTGACTCATACTTGTATGTATTTGCTAGGAATTCCTTGTTTCTTGGTTTTCTTGCAATTATGGCATGTCTTAAACAAAGTTAGGATTGATTACCCATGAAACTTCTTTTATAGCTTTAAAACCCTAGTTTTTGGGGAAATATGGAATTCTCTTTCTACATTTGCTCAAGCTTGGTTTTGAGAACTTTAGTGCTTTGTGTGAGTAATGAAAATGATGTGGTGGTGATCTCTTGTATTTTCCTAATTGTTTATTGAAATTGCCTCATAATGGATTTGTGGATCTTTGGAAATTTGCTTGTAAATTGGAGATTTATGGAATCCTTGGTTATGTGTGATGATTGTTGGGATGATGTGATCTTGTATGGTTGTTGGAATGAACATGGATGAGAGGTTCCTTGTAAGGATGCTCATTCCATCTCAAGAGGTTCCTTGTAAGGATGCTTGAGAAACCAAATCTTGAGGGTGAGAGGTTCCTTGTAAGGATGCTCACACCAAAAGAGGACAGTATGTGATTATCTCAAGAGGTTCCTTGTAAGGATGCTTGAGAAACCAAATCTTGAGGGTGAGAGGTTCCTTGTAAGGATGCTCACACCAAAAGAGGACAGTATGTGATTTTCTCAAGAGGTTCCTTGTAAGGATGCTTGAGAAACCAAATCTTGAGGGTGAGAGGTTCCTTGTAAGGATGCTCCCATTAGAGAGGACAATATGATATCATGTGTGGGAAATGATTTATATTTTGGTAATGGATGTTTATTAGCACTTAGTTGAAATTGCTCCTTTCTATTACTATTGTTACTTAAACTTGAGATTCGTGCCAAAGGAAATATAATAATCGATGGTGGAATAAGCGTTCCTTTTTGTATTATGGTGTTACTATTGCATTTCCCACAAGAGCTTGTGGAGGTATGGGACTCTACAAGAACTTGTTGGAAATGGTTATGGTTGCTCATTGTGACTTGGGTTTACTGTTCATTTAAATTATTGCGAATGTTTAAACTTGAGATCTGTTTCAAATGTCACGGTTTTACTTCAAATGTTATATGATATTTTGGAAAATAAGACCGAACTGTTTTACTTGTTTTCTAAACCTTGTATGAGTATGGAAGGAATGTTGCTACAGAGCTTAGTGCTCATCCCCTACAAATAATATCTTTTCAGATTTCGTCTATGAGGAGGAGTTACAAGTAGATGAACCAGTGCATGGGGAAGCTCCCCTAGAGGGGAACGGGGGTCCTGAACTGGATGCCTAGAGTTATATTTCTTTTGTACTAGACTAGAGAGTTTATTTTGAAATCATGTAAAGTCTAGTATTTTGTTATTTCACTGCAAGTGTAATTTAATTCTTTTGGGAATATATTTGTCATACTTGGCCTATTCTTTTGGGATGGCATTGTGGATATGACATATGATGAATGAAAGTTTATTTTATGATGGATAAATAGACCCGGTGTGGTCAATAGTTATGCATATGTGGACCCGGTGTGGTCAATTGTAATATAATTGTACAGGTTGTGTTTTGGGTAAAGCTCCCCGTACAAAGGAGACTCTGCCCAAATTTTGTTAAAATATGAATGGTTGATGAATGAACTTTCGTCGTGATGAATTTACGTAATGCTCTCATGGGGTGAATGGTTTTTAGAATGTAATGTCACCCAAGGGGGTTTTTGGGGCGTTACATAGGTGAACCTAGAGATGGTGCCTAGGGACACATTTGTACCACCACCAACTTTCATGCACTCTAAGAGTATCTATCAAACGCAACCCAAGGATAAGACTCAACAACAACTAGGGCTCTCTTCTAGGACATCTAATCCTCCTTCATCACAACCACGTCTGTCACACTCTAAAGGCATCTATCAAATGTTGCGCACCAAAGGCATACCAGTACCACCATCAGGACCATCTACCAAGACGTCTGACACACCACCACCACCACCACCACCACCACCCAAGCACATCCACAGGAACTTTGGTGACCTGTCCACCAGTTTCAGTCCTCCAACTTGGTGATGACGGACAATGTTGCAAAGAAGTTTAGTGAGGCTATATGGCAACCCTTTTGGGTCTCATCTATGCAATTTTTTTTTGGGTCTGTATCTGAGCAATAATAGGCCCCTTTTACTCCCATTTAGCCCACCAATTTTTACCGCTAATAAAAATGCTTTGATTTTAAATATCTGTCTTGTTTGAGGGGCTGCATTTGAATGCATAATTTATTCTTAGAATTAAGTTATTGAACATCAATTTCTATTTTAGGACTATTCTTGATATTTATCTTAGGACAGATCTTATAACTAGCTCAAGTATTAACAAGTTCGAGCAAGCAACTCCAGGTTTGCATGAAACTAATTTTTCACTAGCAAAACTAATCCGTTATATGAATGACAATCCTTATAATGGACACGTACTTTGAAAGGCCAACTTCCTCTTCCAAACCTCCACAATAATCAGCTCCAAGGCATACTCCATACCCCCCATCCCCAACAAACCATAATACCCCTTTTTCTTCTTCATAAATTATCTACCACGAATTCAAGTGTGACTCATTCTGTATAAATGGATTCCTCATTAAAATGTGGTATGTAATTTACCCAAAAAAAATGAAAGTAACAAATTTTTACAAGCATCATGTTTAAAGTAAGATTTGAAAGAATTGAGTGATAAATAGTCTTACCTTAATTTTAAAGAGGCAGATTTATAAACTCGAACACAACATACAACTTACGGAAAAGAACTCGTGTTCATTGATGCCACCCTAATTGAAACTTTACCCAATTAACTCAAAAAAGAAAACGAGATAATTTTTTTTTAAAAATCTGTAAACACATATCATTCCCAATTATGTATCAATTATTTCTGAAGTTATATCAAGTCACCAACAAATCTTCACAATAAAGAAGCTCCCTCACTTTTGAGTGTTTCAGATTGTGTATTTAGATAGTTCCCTAATGAATTAATGGCTACATTACACATAACAAAAAAAGGGTAATGACTTTGAATATTTAATAGCAATAAAGAACAGAATAGTCGCCAAGACATATTGATGCAATTGTGAAGAAAACAAGACGAAAAGTAGCGAAAAACTTTTCTTAGTGGCACTTGTGGTCACAATACTGATTTTGGGCCTCATTGGTAGCAAAACAGATGCTAGAAGAGTAGCAAAGGTTCCATATGATTCAAATAGGGTGAACCTAGAGATGGTCCCTAGGGACACATTTGTACCACCACCAACTTTCTTGCACTCTAAGAGTATCTATAAAACGCTACCCAAGGTTATGACTCGACGACAACCAAGGCTCTCTTCTAGCACATCTGATCCTCCTCCATCACCACCACGTTTGTCAGACTCTAGAGACATCTATCAAATGTTGCCCAAAGGTATACCTTTACCACCATCTGGACCATCTACCAATACGTCTGATCGACCACCACCACCATCCAAGCACATCCATAGGAACTTTGGTGGCCCATCAACCAGTTTTGGTCCTCCAACTTGGTGATGACGGCCAATGCTACAAAGAAGTTTAGTGAGGCTATCTGCCAACCCTTTTGGGTCTCATCGATGCATTTTTTTTTGGATTTGTATTTGAGCAATAAAAGGCTCCTTTGCGCCTATTTAGCCCACCAATATTACCGCTAATAAAATTGCTTTGATTTTAAATATATGTCTTGTTTGAAGGGCTGCATTGAATGCATAATTTATTTTTAGAATTAAGTTATCGAACATCAATTTTTGTTTTAGGACTATTCTTGGTATTTATCTTAGGACAAATCTTATAACTAGCTCCAGTATGAACAAGTTCGAGCAAGCAAGACCAGATTTGCATGAAATTAATTTTTCACAAGCGAAACTAATCCGTTATATGAGCGACAATCCTTACAGTAGGCACGTACTTGGGAAGGCCAACTTCGTCTTCCAAACCTACACAATAATGCGCTCCAAGGCATACTCCATACCCCCCATCCCAAACAAAACATAATACCCCTTTTTTCTTCTTAATAAATTATCTACCATAAATTCAAGTGTGACCCATTCTGTATAAATGGATTCCTCATTAAAATGTGGTATGTGATTTACCTAAAAAAAATAAGGAAAGAAATTGGTACAAGCATCATGTTTAAAGTAATATTTGAAAGAGTTAGGTGATAAATAGTATTACCTTAATTTTAAAAAGGCGGATTTATAAACTTGAACACAACATACCACTCACACAAAAGAACTCGAGTTTGTTGATGTCACTCTAATTGATACTCTACCCAATTAACTCAAAAATGAAAACGAGATAAATATTTTTTAAAATTCTGCAAACACATAACATCCCCAATTAAGTATCAATTATTTCTAAAGTTATATCAACTCTTCACAATAAGGAAGTTCCCACACTTTTGAGCTGTTCAGATTGTGTATTTAGATAGTTCCCTAACGAATTAATGGCTACATTCCACATAACAGAAAGAGGGTAATGACTCTGAATATTTAATAGCCATGAAGCACATAAGAGTGGCCAAAACATATTGATTCAATTGTGAAGAAAAGATGATGAAAAGTAGCAAAAAACTTTTCTTAGTGGCCCTTGTGGTCACAGTACTAATTTTGGGCCTCACCGCTAGCAAAGCAGATGCCAGAAGAATAGCAAAAAATGGAGAAGTTAGGTCTATCATGTTGAATTTTGACAAGGTTCCATATGATTCGAATAGGGTGAACCTAGAGATGGTGCCTAGGGACATATTTGTACCACCACCAACTTTCTTGCACTCTAAGAGTATCTATCAAATGCTACCCAAGGTTACGACTCGACGACAGTCAGGGCTCTCTTCTAGCACATCTGATGCTCCTTCATCACCACCACGTCTGTCAGACTCTAGTGGCATTTATCAAATGTTGCCCAAAGGTATACATGTACCACCATCTGGACCATCTACCAAGACGTCTGACCCACCACCACCACCACCCAAGCACATCCATAGGAACTTTGGTGGCCCATTAACCAGTTTTGGTCCTCCAACTCGGTGATGACGGCCAATGTTGCAAAGAAGTTTAGTGAGGCTATTTGGTATCCCTTTTGGGTCTCATCTATGCATTTTTTTTTTGGTCTGTATCTGAGCAATAAGGGGCCCCTTTTATGCCCATTTAGCCCACCAATATTACCGCTAATAAAAATGCTTTGATTTTAAATATATGTCTTGGTTGAGGGGCTGCATTTGAATGCATAATTTATTTTTAGAAATAAGTTATCGAACATCAACTTTTATTTTAGGACTATTCTTGATATTTATCTTAGGACATATCTTATAACTAGGTCAAGTATGCACAAGTTCGAGCAAGCAAGACCAAGTATGCATGGAATTAATTTTTCACTAGCAAAACTAATATGTTATATATGAACAACAATCCTTACAGTAGGCACGTACTTTGGAAATCCAACTTCCTCTTCCAAACCTACCCAATAATCAGCTCCAAGGCATAATACCCCCTTTTTCTTGTTAATAAATTATTTGTCATGAATTCAAGTGCGACCCATTCTGTATAAATGGATTCGTCATTAAAATATGGTATGTGATCTACCAAAAAAAAAGAAAGAAAGAAATGTGTACAAGCATCATGTTTAAAGTAAGATTTGAAAGAGTTAAGTGATAAATAGTTTTATCTTAATTTGAAAAAGACGAATTTATAAACTCGAACACAACATACAACTTACACAAAAGAACTCGTGTTTGTTGATGTCACTCTAGTTGATACTCTACCCAATTAACTCAAAAAAGAAAACAAGGTAAATATTTTTTACAATTCTGCAAACATATATCATTCCCAATTAACTATCAATTATTTCTGAAGTTATATCAAATCACCAACAAATCTTCACAATAAAGAAGTTTCCTCACTTTTGAGTTGTTCAAATTGTGTATTTAGATAGTTTCCTAATGAATTAATGGCTACATTCCACATAACAAAAAAAGGGTAATGACTCTGAATATTTAATAGCAATGAAGCACAGAACAGTGGCCAAGACATATTAATGCAATTGTGAAGAAAAGATGATGAAAAGTAGCGAAAAAATTTTCTTAATGGCCCTTGTGGTGATAGTACTGATTTTGGGCCTTACTGCTAGCAAAGTAGATGCAAAAGGAGTAGCAAAAAATGGAGAAGTTAGGTCTATCATACTGAATTTCGACAAAGTTCCATATGATTCGAATAGGGTGAACCTAGAGATGGTGCCTAGGGACACATTTGTACCACCACCAACTTTCTTGCACTCTAAGAGTATCTATCGAATGCTACCCAAGGTTACGACTCAACGACAGCCAGGGCTCTCTTCTAAGACATCTAATCGTCCTCCATCACCACCATGTCTATCACACTCTTGTGGCATCTATCAAATGTTGCCCAAAGGTATACCTGTACCACCATCTGGACCATTTACCAAGACGTCTGACCCACCATCACCACCACCACCCAAGCACATCCACGGGAACTTTGGTGGCCCATTAACCAGTTTTGGTCCTTCAACTTGGTGATGACAGCCAATGTTGCAAAGAAGTTTTGTGAGGCTATTTGGCAACCTTTTTGTGTCTCATCTATGCCATTTCTTTTTTGGTTCTGTATCTGAGCAATAAGAGGCCCCGTTTATGCCCATTTAGCTCACAAATATTGTGACGTCTCAAAAATCAGGGGTCCTTTATCAACCATTGATCACCAATCAACTCGTGGAACACACATGGATACCTTGTCTCTCGATATCACGCCGTTATGCCCCATTTTTCAATGTCCATAATTTAGTAAAATTCGGGCAGAGTCTCTTTTGTATGAGAAGCTCTACTCAAAACACAACTTGTTCAATCATACAACATTGACCACACCGGGTCCATTTATGAGTAAACATTTGACCACATGTAATTTTTAAATTAAAAATAGTTCATATGAGTTCGATTACAATTATTTGATATCTACATGTCAAAATGATATTTCACAAAAGTTATACAAAATGAGTCATAAAAGCCACAAGTCGGCCTGCTTCACCCTTGAGGCTCGAATTGGGAGCCTTCCACTGGTGTGAATTCCGCACCTGAAATATTTTTTCACGAAGGGTGAGTCATGCTCAATAGGATATCTCTTAAACAAGCTACTCCCTAACCTAGATGTATATGAAATGTTCACATGCAACAATCAACCATTCAAAACATTCCCATCAAGAATATGCATTCAATAACAAGAATCTCATGCTATGCCATGAAATGGGATGAAACCCACTCATGTACATCTACTGAAGCTTTCAACGGCTCCCTTAGCCCATGCAATTGCCATGTATGAAACCCGGGCTTTCTAAGTCCCCGCCATTGACATTACACATCAAATAACAATTTATAAATAAAATCATGTGTCTTTGTTGGGTAGTGGACTTTTGGTGTCACTGCGAGCTCCGCACACCGATACACTTTTTTGGACTTGCTTTGTCGGAAGTATATAAACCAGTAGTCGGGTCTTGCACCCGAGAGAGAGTCTAGCCTTTCTTGCTATATCTGACATAAGTTTTTTTTTTCATGCAATCATGCGACTCAGTCGGAACTTCGTTTCAACTTTTCACGAGCACATCCATCATCTACCAAGTATGGTGTTTGATTGAACTATGCACCCACACTCATGCCCAATGCCCATGAATGTGATGTCAATATCATGCCCAATATGCAATGAATGTCAAATGAACAATTTCCACCATTCTATTGCCAAATATATCAAAGCATAAAATTTACACACTTATCATAATGCTAACATATCATAACTCATAACAATTCTCTAGCATGTTATCACATTATCTATGCAACATACTTAACTTCGCATTTGCATTTATTTCAAACACCTTCAAGACATCCAATCATGTCATCACATAATTTGCCCAATTAATCACGCAACTTAAGAATCACATTAGGTAATTTTCACATACCTAATTCATGATAGAAATTATTCTACCCATTCTCAATACCCAATTCCTAAATTTTTTTACAACAATAGGCAAGTGATACAACTTCTATCAACCTACCCATTTCACCAAATTCTCAACAATAGGCAAGTGTTAAAATTCTCTAACAAGCTACTGATTCCATATAATCATTCTATGTTGAATATAAACCTAATTAGGGAGAAAACTCTACCTCTTGAAATGTAAAAGAACGTTGGGAAGCTCCTAGAATACACCCCCAAGCTCAAACCTTGATTTCTCTAAAATTTCGTCTCGAAAACTTTGGTGAAATTCGCTCTTTTTTTGGTACGTAGGCGTAACCCTCAATGAGTAGAACAACTTTGATTTTTGGCTCATGTTGATTCGAGCACCGTAGAACCGTAGGTCGTAGAGAGAAAGTTGAGTTTCTTTCTTTTTTCTCTCTTTCTCTCCAATGTTGAAGACTCAGCAGATTTGTGGGGAAGAAATCTGATTTCTTCCCTTTTTTATACTTCCCAAATACTAGGTCCTCATCGAACCACACATGTCTCCACTTTTGGTTTCAGTTTTGACCCGAAATGATTAAATTGCACCCTGATTCAAGTTCAAAATAATTTTTATTTCAAATTGCTTTAAATTATTTTCTAACTTTTAAAATTTTATTCAAAAATTCAGTTTTGGGTCACCTGAGAGGCCCGATAGCCTCATAAAACGCGAAAAATCCGAATATTTTAGAATTTGACGAAACTTGACGAGGCAGCTAGATTTCGCGAGATGAATCCAACGGTGAGATCTGTTTCATCATCTGAGCTCTAAAAAAATTCACGTTTGCAACCCGTACCGTAATGACAAATTACCGTTTTGTCCATTTTTCATAAAAGTTCAAATTTACCTGAGTTTTATAAATATTATCGCTAATAAATATGCTTTGATTTTAAATATATGTTATGTTTGAGGGGTTGCATTTGAATGCATAATTCATTTTTAGAATGAAGTTATAGAACAACAATTTCTATTTTAGGACTATTTTTGATATTTATCTTAGGACAGATCACATAACTAACTCAAATATAAACAAATTCGAATAAGCAAAACCAAGTTTGCATGAAATTAGTTTTTCTCTAGCAAAGTTTGAAAATTTTCTCTTCATCGTATTCCACCACTTGTATAAAATAGATATCGTGTTGGAATTTATATTAGGCGATGTATCATAATTTCAAAATCGTGTTGAGTGAGATTTGGTTATTAAGTCAAGCAAATTCAACCAAATCCGTTATATTAATGAAAATCCTTACAGTAGGTACAGACTTTGGAAGGCCAACTTCCTCTTCCAATAATCAGCTTCAAAGTATACTCTTTACCCCCCCCCCCAAAACAATAAACCATGGTACTCTTTTTTTCTTCTTAATAAATTACTTACCACGAATTTAAGTGTGAGCCGTTTTGAATAAATGGATTCCTCATTAATACGTGGTATGTGATTTACCAAAAAGAAAGAAATGTGTACAAGCATCATATTTTAATTACGATTTGAAAGAGATAAGTGATGTATAATCTTACCCTAATTTTAAAAAAGTGAATTTTTGAGCTCGAATTTATAACATACAACTTACACAAAAGAACACACGTTTGTTGATGTCACTCCAATTGATACTCTACTCAATTAACTCAAAAAAGAAAATGACATGAATAATTTTTCAAATTCCACTAACAAACAAATCATCACAATAAAAAAGCTCCCTCACTTGTTGAGCTATTCAGACTGTGTATTTAGATCGTTCCCTAATGAATTAATGGCTACATCCTACATAACAAAAAGAATATTTAATGGCATTGAAGCACAACACAATGGCCAAGACATATTGACGCAATTGAAAAGAAAAGATGATGAAAAGTAGGCAAAAAATCTTCTTAGTGGGCCTTGTGTTTACAGTACTGATTTTGGGCCTCACCACTAGCAAAGCAATGCCTTTAAGAGTAGCAAAAATTGGAGTTTTAAGGTCCATCTTGCTGAAGTTTGACAAGGTTCCATATTATTCGAAGAGGGTGAACCTAGAGATGCTACCTGAGGGCACATTTG